TATAGAATTCAGATTTAGTCTAAACAATCAGAAAAAAACTCAATCGAACAGGCTTGAAATGTTTAACATAGTGCTTTTTGCGGAAAACATAGTTCAACTTTAAGAAAAATTAATTTACTCTGGAAGCTGTATTGACGGAATACATTTATCTCTTGGCTAGGATAAAATCACATTTTGTCTATCATATATACATGTATTTATATTATTACTTCTTGGATCAAGGATAGTGTTCGTATATTTTGTGCATTGTGTGTTTTTTGGCCGCCATATCTGGATCCTAGAGATAATTTTTTTGTTCAACCAATTTAAAATTTTTATATTAGTATTTTTAGAAATCATTGGGGGGGGAAGTATATAAATTTTTGGAAGCCCCGTTGATAAAGGTTTCCACCAAATATTTCTGTACTTGTAAATGACCCAACGTAATTGGCAACACAGGGGAGTCACATTGCCCTCAAGACACTAGAATATACTTAGTACCTATAGAGGTCAATTTTTACCTGTACAAATGATTTTTAACGAAAAGTATTTGGTGACGTAGGGGGACCTATAGAGGTCAATTTTTACCTGTACAAATGACCCGAAGTATTTGGTGACGTAGGGGGAGTCACACTGCCCCAGGATCCTCATCTCCTGTTGGATGTCGTCGATCTCGTCCTCAGCCTCCTCTAAGTCGATGATTTTTATCGCTACAATTTCCTGGGTGTCCAGGTCTAGTCCTTTATACACGCGCCCAAAGGATCCCTTCCCAATCTGATCGTCCATCTTCTGGAACCGTCGCTTAAGTTCCGAGTCGCCATTGCCGATCTGTAGAAATTCAGATTGTACCATAAAGGATATATACTCTTACATGTATATAATTATTCTTATACCTCCCCGTGAAACAGGTGCGTTTTTTTTTGAGAGAGTCCGCGATTGAATCTTGACAAAGAACTATATGCGGTATTGCATATTTTTGCCCTCACAAAAGTCAAATTTTGAAAAATTCTTGAAATGTGCTGAATTGTATATATTGTATAAGAAATCGAAATTAATGAAAAAGAATTACACATGTAGTTTCAAAGTAGGTTATTGACAATTTTTGTTTTTGCTGCTTCACAAAATAGTCGGATTTTGTGGTATGTTTCAGAAAGGAAAATATTTATAAAATTTGCTCAAATTTTACTATGAAAATCATTGATTTTTGGTCAAATATTGGTCATCACCGCATATAGTCCTTTAACGACTGATCTCACGAAAAGACAGTTCTCTAGGACGTCTCCCCAATAAGAAGAAGGTACGGTTTTGGCTTTATTGTGCCCTAAAAATTTAATGTTCTAAAAAAGTTATGAAATTGGCTTAAACAAGAGTTGAGTACATGAATATGATAAATCATTAAAAAATATGGTATGAAGTAGGACCCTTCTGGAAATTTGACGTCATTAATTTGGTACATTTCTAAGTTTGATGCAAAAAAGCCTCAGAATGACTCATTTTTGTGCTTATTTTCCTTTAGAAAGTTGAGTCTGCCACCGTCGCCCAGTTAAATTTTTGGATATATTATGTAAACTGCTTTGAAAAATCGCATATCTCAAAATATTTGTGGGCGGCGGTGGCAGAGTATGTTTTCTGAAAGAAAATTCCACTGAAAATTGATGTCTTCTGCAACTTTTAAAGAAAATACGGGAAAATGCACAAGTTAATGACATCACAATTAGCATATAGGAGGACATATGAGAAAAAAAGATTTGTGTATTCTTACTGCATGGAGAAATAATGAATTTTAATTTTTATATCACTTTCATATTTTAGAAAAATACAGGGCTTAATTTATATTGAAACTTTACTTTCTTCTTTGCTAATATATATAGTTCTATAAAATTTACAAATTACAACTATATATCCTCTTAAGCGTTTTGGGGGGAAAATGAGAGGTTTGTTTGTTCGTTTGTTTGTTTGTTTAATTGCTTTTTTCTTATTTCATTGTCAAGAAATTTCTCTAGCAATTAAAGTACTATTGCGGATATTTCAGTAAAAGTAAATTACACGATCCGTGACTAACCATATAAAAACCGGATCTTCTGTATTTTTTCCCTTTCTTTGTTTGTCTTAAAAATACCAACTGAGGTTGGCTATCTTTTATCAAAAAATATCTAATTTGAAAGGAGTGTATTTGCTACAATCCTTCTATACCATTTCAACTTTCGTAAGCGTCTCATCACTACCTCACTGCCGTAAATAGATCAAGAGGGATTCCCCGTAAAATTGATATACCTGACGCAGGTTGTGAGTACATTCCTACGGAATTATCAGATTAAACAATCATACCTGGGTAATAAATCTCTAATTAGCTGTCACTTATAGGCTCTCTAAGCCTCTGATCGATACATGTATATGAGAATTAGAGGTATATGTATATACACGTGAAAGGGGGGAGGGGTGTTCAGATTTACTAAAAATGTGATCTACATCTTAGCCTTTCCTCTTTATTTGTGAGCAACAGATATTTACATGTTATAAGAGATTAAGAGGTTTATAATTAATTACCTCAGCAGATTACATGATATTAACTACGAGACTTAATCATGTTAATATTGATAAAAATATTTCTTGACCCATATATAGACCATTATGAATTTATGATAATTTAATACCTATGAAGATAATCAACTGCAATCTTAAAGATCAAGGACTCTCTCTCTCTCTCTCTCTCTCTCTCTCTCGTGTACTTAATTACCTTTCATATATGAAAACTTTCGTTTTATAGCAATCTCATAAATATTAAATGGAACGTCACTTCACTGGAAAAATTTGAAATTTCAAAGCAATCGCATGCATATTAAACAAGTTAAACATGTTAAATGAAACGTCTTTTCTACTTTGAGTTTTTGCGTCTGCTAGAATTCGTACGTATAATCTCATTATTAATGAGGTTGTTTATCTGCAGAATATAATACTGATATCTCTCAAGTGAAAGAGCCGTTGGATCCACCTAAAGTTCGTTATCGGTATCTGTATGTATACGTAAACAACTCTTTACCTACACAGGTATACCATAAATCTATATTAAGACCGAGCTAGGCTGCCAGAGAAAATAACTATTATACCTACCTTTGACATCGTTTCTAAGCATAAATCTCCGTGACGTAACTTGGTCCGGGACTTTCTTGATCCGAGAGGCTGACCCTAGGTCCGTGTCAAGTCCCAGGAAGGAAATAGATACAGTCCGGAACAGACTGTCAGCGCTGAATAATTGCCAACTTGCTGTGTATGTATCGATCTGGTCAATTAAGGGCGACGTACCCGCCACCTACAGGACTTCCTTGTTGGCCAGGAATTCCCGGGAGAGAGGGCTACCCCACAAATCGGTCCACGGCTCGCCGTCAATGGGATATAAATACTTCAAGCCGCTGATCCACGTCTTAAAGTGACAAGGGCTACACGAAAAGAAAACACGATGACTCATGCACGCTATGAATTTTAAAATTTGTGTTTCGAATCGTGAATGATAATGCAGTTCTATACGACTTCGTTGGGGAAACCCCCGTCTCAGAAAACGACCTATTGACGGGACCAACCTTGCAAAAAAAAAGGGCGGGGTGGGACACATATAGGTGTGTGAACCGGGGGGTAACCCCACCCCCCCGCCCTCCACCTCACATTTTTGCGAAGATAGACATAATATAGGCATTGAAAACTTTTTTGTTGGTTTAGCCCCCTTTTCAATTAGCCCCCGCCCCAGAAATTTGCCAATGTGAACTATAGTTATTTGTAATAAAAAAAAAAAAAAAAAGAAATCGGAAATTATTATATATTATGTTATAGGAATTTCAGGTGCATTGAACCTCATAACCCACTTTGATCGTGTGTACGTATTGTACCAAAACGTCAAGCAGATTTGCAAAATTTACTACAAAGGAGTTCTGATATCATATAGAGTACCAGGTAGTCTGTAACATGTATTATTCTTCAAATCTCCCGTCGTCCATTGTCATACCTGTCCTTAATTTACCTGAACAAGTTTGGATATTATCACTGATAATATTAATTTTATTTAAAAAAAAATTATGTGTATCTCCATCCCTTCCCGCCTTTGTCCTGTGTACGTAAACTGTACCAAAGCAATCTTTGTAACAATTTCTGCTTTCATGTAGAGTAGTCTAATTCGGCGGACCTTTCGGTGTACCTGTCGTGAAGATTTACCTGAACAAGTGTTCCTAAGTCGCGACATGGATCGATTATATACAGAGAAGAATTCGACAGAAAACGCCCAAAATTTAAACCTCACGGCGCTTTATCTGTTGGAGACTCTCCAAACTGACTTAGAAATTCAAACATTCAAGTTCCAGTTTTATTGATATAATGAAAATGGTTTGAATGTTCTAAAAATACATCCGTGTTCAACACGTTGACCTCTAGCAACAGCTTTATGGATATTTGTATATGAAAAGAGACTTTAAAAAATCTTCGATGTAATTTTAAGGACAGACAATAGAAAGGAATACCACGTGCAGATCTTTCGTTGAGGTCGAAAGAGGGAGGGAAGGTACCCCCCTGTCCCGTGACTTTCAGTAAAGAAATTTAATAATGAAGTTCCTTAATGCCCCTCCCAACAGACCAAAAGAAAGTTGGTTGAAAAGGTTATGTAAATGTTTGTCCACTGATAAATGCCCAACCCCTCCAATGTTATTCCCATCAAAATTAATTTCTTATAACATCTCTTGTGTCAAAAATAATTCCCGAGTCCGTTGATTAGATATGAACCCTTCTCCGAAAAATAAAATATTGTACTTAAGTGGTATATTTACTTACAATAAACGATTTCAACCAAATTTAGAATTTGTTCAAATTTAAGAGTTTATATTCATGAAAACCCCAAATACTCAATACTAGTATTCTACATGATAAATTTCTTAAAAAAAACAAAACATTTCTATCCACAACTTTTGTTCTCTATCGTGGCCATCCCCTCCATTGAGGACGTCAAAGAAAAGCAATTAGTGACTAAACACAACAAAAGCTAACATTATTCTGGAATTTATTTGTGTATAATCATTAGTACATGAAAATTAGAAAGCACGTATTCTTATGAACTGACGAGTATATGTTTAATATAGTCTCTCTTTTCATGTGTACATCAAACTTGTATAACTTTTTTTCACACTTTTCTTAATTAAGTTTATAAACATCACAAATGTTCTCGAAATTTTCCCCATTTCTGTCTTCATTTTTTCTACACATACAACTATAATATTCACAAAAGAACCAAGTGTAACGATGTCGTCAATATATTTCTTTCTCACACGAGTTATCGTTCCTTCTAAAGTAAAGAACGACAACTCTATAAAGTGTAACATCAACAACAGAAAAAATCAAGGCATTTTACACAAATTCCGTCAGATTTGGTTAACAGCTTATGGTCAACAAATATAATCTGGTAAGACATTAATTTTGATTTTCAATTCTTTGAGAAAAAATATCAAACCTCTCAATATCTAACATCCAATAATAAAACTAAAGGAAGATTTTGCTGTTCTCCAGGATACATTGTATTCACATCTTCAGAATTATAATCCATGTTTTTTTTTCTCTCTATTTAAATAACTTCACATAAATAACAATACAGTAACATCAAAGATCTCATATATTTTTATCTACATTTCAAAGTTTGGAATGTTATTTTATCTTATCAATTTGAAAAAAAAAATCTTTAAAAATACATTATAACATAAAAAGAGAGTAAACAACTGAAATATATTGGAGATTTTTCTTCAAGTTTCAATCTCAATTTGAAAAAAAAAAAATTCACACAAGAGACTTCCTGACCTGAATAGTGAATTCTGGGAAAAATTCAAAATGGATGCCATATAGAGATAACACGATCCCTCTGAAAAATTAACAAAGGGTTGAAAAAAAGTGTTAAAACTAATCTATTTACACGTGTTATAAATTATAAATATATATATATATATAGTCATCTTCTGCTACATGATTGTAATACACATCACTCTAGTTATACATCAAACCTTTACTGAAATACAACCATTCAATCGCTGCCAACCATTCAAGCCAAAAATAACGAAAACAAACTGCTTAACCAATATAGTCAGATGTAAATAAAAAAAGAAACACAGGTAGTTAACACTAATAAAGTAGCATCACCCTTTGTTTCAACAGGTACAGGTAGATACCAAAAGATGTGAACTATAGAAATGAAATGATAGTCAGTATCCACACAACTATAGGCATTTAAAGTGTTGGATACAGAGGGGGCATTGGTTCTGTTTACAAATGACTGTCCAGCAGTTATTATAAATCAATGTAAACCATTTATTTATTTTACCCGTGACATAAGTAACACAACTAGAGGCTTACACAAGAACATTTTTCTGTTGTATTCAAAAACCTTCCTCAGGTGGAACATTGTATCACACAGAAATTTAAGGAATCATATTCAAAGGGATCTTATTTGAAAATGAAAATATAATAAATTTTCAAAAGAATAAATAGTTTGGCAAAATTACATGATATTTTTTTTATTTCTTAAAGTTTTCTGCTAGATTAAAATAAAAAGAATTTAATAGATTTTGTGGCAGATACAAGCTACAGTTCACAGCCTTGATTATTTGTTATACACAGGTCAGAATAGATAAGGAAAAAATAGGTATATTTCTATTACCAACCCCATTTACACAATAGTACCGATATAATAGAGAATAATTAAAATGATAGTATACAGAATACATGTGAAATCAGGGACTACATTAAAGGTCTCTCTGTGTTCTTAGAAGCACCATCCATTATTATCAGAGTCCAGGAAAAAGAAAACTTATGGATACTAAATATTCTTCAAGAAGAGACTGTCAAGGGAGATAAGTGATGACAGGAAACAGATGACAAAGAGAGATAACTCAAAAGAAGGGAAGTAACTCATGACAGGAAGTTTATCTGAGAGACTTTTTTGCAGCTTTCATAAAGAAAATAAAATTTTTTTTATGAAAGATTCTAAATATTTGAACAGATTTCAGAAGTTTTTGGCTTACAATCATTTGTGACAAATTTATATCTTAAAAGAAAGCATCCATGATTTTTACACTGCATGTACTTCCTTTTTTACAAAAACAAACTCATTTTCTCGTGTAACAATTCCCATTCACACATTCACATGAAATACATTAATATAATATGTACCTTTAATAAACATGAAAATAAATGTACTAATCATAAAATAACAATAACTTCAGCTTGACATCTTTCTTAATTCTCTCGTTAAAAATACACTCAACACTTTCACTCAGTCATTAGATATGGTCATAACTCTCCACAAAGAAAAACAAAATATTGATAATTTTTTTCTGCTTTGACAATATGTCATAAGGTTAGCTGACATACAATGAAGTATTGTGGATAAACCCGACAGGGGCCTAATGCTGACAAGTTACAGAGTATCACAATATCCACTGGAGTTATTTGTACATTCCATGAATCAATTTGCTAGGAAAGAGGAGTTTTCTAACACATCAAAATGTAGACTATTTTTTCAAAATTGATCAGATACACTAGTATAATATGTTCAAAGTACTCTCAAAACAGCTCAGTTCATGTTTCAAAAGTCTTGTAAATCAAACCACTTGATTTTTCATTGAAGGTAGAAAGGTCTTAAATTCAAAAAGGACATTGCATCCCTGTACAATAATCATGATGACATATGTATACCTCAAAAGTGCAATTGCTAGGGATCATAAGATATTGATCATGACTGAGGATCTATATGCCTTAATAATTAGATTTTGTACATTTCTTTTTCATTACATTGGCTTTATTATGTTACAAAAGTAGATATTTTCTCAACTGATCAGATAAACAGAGTACAGCCTCAAAACAGCTTGAATCAGGTTTCGAAAGTCTTGTTATATCCAATAATTTAATTCTTAATTGGAGTCTACAATGGTCAAACTAGACCTACATTTATAAAGAAAATTGTATTCCTGTTACAAATCTAGTACTATCATAAAGACCTACATGTATGTATATTTCAAAATGCAAAATCAAAAATATTCCAGAAAATGTTGTTTCAAAAAAATAGCACCAAATACTTTTCTAAAGCTAGTGTAAGGAGTAGTTACTTATTCAATGTGGTGAGGACAGTACATCAGTGATATGAGAATGATAACTAATGACAAAAGAAGGCAGTCAATTCGATTAACTTGTCAACATTAGGCCTCTAATCAAATAGAGAAAGCAGTCAGTCTAAATAAGAAATAAATACTTAAAGACAGTCCCTGAAAAAAAGTGAAACTTTGGTTACAGTGCTAACCGAGGCAGAACCATTGATAACAGATAAAATCTCTCCTGTATAGAATTTAACAGCTTCACTTGATCTCCTCGAGGAGAAATTCTATTGTGGTGACTCAGACCTCTACCTGGTCACCACGGTAACAGGAAGCCACAATCGACCCAGTTTTAGAGAACTCCTCCATCTGGATATTCCGGATCCTCTTGACCTACAGATCAAGTCCTGATCCACACACTCACAGCTGAGGTACACACTGTAACACAGCAATATCTGGAAACAGAATTCTAACCAGTTCATCTTTTATAATGCTGCCCTCGAGGGATATAGCCATCATCGCACTCCTGACATCGTCACGGGGGAAGAGTATACGTCTTGTATAGGAATTCATTATCGCTGCTAATGCAGTCCATAGAGTTATATATATATATTTATATATTTTATATAAATCACACAAAAGGAATGTGTCCTGTCTGAGGAGCCCTATGTCCTCAGTTGCCCTCACTTCTCTCTTCATGTCTCTGTCCTAGCACTTAACACACTGGTCCTCTACATCTCACTGCTAGGAAGGTCTGCAAAAAAACAGACAGCAAGGAGTGATTAAACAGATTCTAGTTACTAGCCTTCAACTCATTGTCACATGTGTCAATCACTTTTTATTCACAGTACTTTATGTTTGCATCATTATGCAAGGCTAGACTGTCATGAATTATAGATTTTGAAATTTACATGTAATAGTATTATTAAAGATTATACAGAGCAATGACTGAAATTTGTTAAAATTCTGTTTTGCTTAAAAGTGCTACATATTAATTTTGTGGAAAAAAATCCCTCAGTGAAAGTTATCTACAGTACAGACAGAAGAACATAATGTACGCTTTAACCAAAAATTCAGAATCTGTTTAACAGATTTCCACTGCAATTTATTTTAATGCCATGCCCTGATAGATGTTTCTTTTTACTCTATTGCTAGTCTGAACTCTAATCGACTTGATGCAACAGTATGTGTGTAACATTAACTATAATATTGACTCTGTACCTTTTGACTCTGTCTATCGCCCTTCTGATCTCGGTCTCTGGTACTGCTGCTGTGTTTGACAATCGACTGATGACCCCTGTTAAGAAGTCGTCGGTGATTCCGGCACACGATCGCTCGGCCAGCTCGAACGCGTTCCTGAGCTCGTCCACGGCCTCCGTCCTCTGTACAGGGTGTCCACGACGTCTATAGTCCTCCCGATACTCCTCCTTCAACTGTCAACAAAACAACAGTTAGTTATAACCAGTAACATATTATTCAAACATAACATGAACTGAACTTGTCTAAACATTCTCCTAGATGTCTAATGGTAATCTTTCAAAATATATATTCAATATTCACCATGAAAGATATGCCTTAAACATAAATTATTTTTCCCTTCAGACAGACCTGTTCTTATATGTACAATTCATTGACATGAGAGGCAGAAACGCCTCAAATATCTAGTTTCCTTGTGAGATGGAACTGTTAAAGTTGTGTACTATAGCCCTGTAAAATAGATCTGTTAATGTAGTGTACTATTGCCCTGTAATGTGGTGTATTATGCGTATTATTGCCTGTGAGACAGATCTGTTTGTGTGATACATGTGTATCTTATTGTCCTGTGATACAGATCTGGTAATGTGGTGCATTATTGCCTGTGAGACAGATCTGGTAATGTGGTGTACTATTGCCCTGTGATACAGAATGGTTAATGTGCTGTATTATTGTCCTGTGACACAGATCTGGTAATGTGGTGCATCATTGCCCTGTGAAATAGATCTGTTTAGGTGATGTATTATTGCTATGTAAGACAGATCTATTGCTTCCATGCATTATTGCCTTGTGAGAAAGATCTGTTAAGGTGATGTCCTATTGCTCTGTTGAGACAGATCTGTTAATGTGGTGTATTATTGCCCTGTGAGACAAATCTGTTAGTGTGGTATATTATTGCCCTGTGATACAGGTATGTTAATGTGGTGTACTATTGCCCTGTAATAATGATCTGTTAATGTGATGCATTATAGCCCTGAGATACAGATCTGTTTTCATTGTGTAATATATCTTATTGCCCTGTTTGTCTATATGGTGTAATTCTTGACATAGATATACCTGTTTATAAGGTGGATCAATGACCAAGACCTACCTGTAATAATAGCGGTCCTACTGTGGAAGTGAGGGAGGGGGACTGTCGTGGAATGTCGTACTGTGACACCGGCCTCTGAGGGGGCTGGGGGGCGGGCTGCCGCTGCTGAAAATGAAACACATCATAAAGAAACTTGTTAACACTGTAAAACACCACGCTACAATCACGCACAAACTCTTATATACAAACTGTTATATAGATACTGTACATGTTAGACTTTGAAACATGTTTTCTTTTAAATGTCAGAGAATTATATCAATATAAACTCTACATGCACACACTTAGATTGATGTACGAAAATAACATAGTTACATTATTTAGTTTAAAATAGTCAAACATTTCACAGGCAAAAATTTTTCAATAGGCAATCCTTTATCCATGTCTACAGAAAATTTCCAATAATATTTGGTTAACTATATTGGTTTCTGCTGAAGTATTAAAAAAATATTTTTTTTCATATGCACTAGAGACTAGATCCTTTAACCATAGAATGATATTTATATGCATATACTTTAAAAATACCCAGCCAAGCATTCAATAATTTAGAATTACAGTGGTGTACAATCCAACATTTGTGTAATATAGTTATATTATAGAATATATAAATACTATAATAAAATATTGATTTCATTGCATGCAACTAAAATGTACTGAAAGACAAAACAATATTAAAATATCTTAATCTTGAATGTTAAAGAAATTTTGAAAACAAAACAAATAAATGACTGGAGTATATAAGACCTATATACATACATTATACAAAATATAGAACAGACCAAATTATAAATTGGTGTGCAACCTTCACATGAAAAAGGTGTATATGTAAAGAAATTTATCTTAATGTTCTTGAAATCAAGTTCATATTAGATGGTCTTTCTCATTGTTACCTGTTCTCCTATCCTGTCATGCCCTCTGGGGCCACCATATGGTGTGAACGTTTTTACATTTTCAAATTGTCGGACCAATATAAACTTATAAAACACCATTATAGAAATTCTTATAATATATTGCTACATGATAAAACAGCCATATATCAATGAACAAAGTTAGTAAAAACATTTAAACTCAATATGTTAGTAAACATAAACAATAACATAAATATTCAATATCCCATTCCATATGATAAACTGAACCAATCGCCATAACATACTGGACACTGGGCATTATGGGTAATCAAATCTATGTAAATCTGATCATGCAAACATGCATGTTAGTGTAAGGTTCTGCACCATTCCCATCAAAGTGGGGTGGGGACGAAATATCAAATAAATAGTGTATTTTCTAAGAGTGCAAAATACATGTAATTTACAAAATTCGATGAAATAAAACTGTAGACAAACATTTATGTTTCCATGTTGGTCACCCTCATTTTTTTACTCACAAATATTTATTTCAATGAACCATATTTATATTTAATCATGTTTCTATTTATATTTGTGAACAGATTTAAAACTGACAAATCTGCATTCACCATTCGGTTACCAAGTCTAGCGATCCAATGATGGGAATGGTGCAGTGTGGGTGAATATCAGTATAAATTAATAACGTAATCCACTGTTTCCGTGTCGTGGTGACTCACGTAATTCCTGTAGGGTGCGGCCTCTAGGATGTGGTGGGGTGGCCCCACATACACGGGGGCATGGCTAGAGTTGGCCCCCAGGGCGTGGCCGGGGTTGGGAATATCGTACTGGGATTTAGGGCGTGATATAGGAGGCTATTATAGAGGGAGAGAAGAAATCAGTGATCAGAACAAAACACACACTACAGATTATCTACAGTCTAAAACAGATATAGCCAGGTTTGATATACCATGATACCTGACTATTTCAGGTATAATTAATGTATGAAAGTATTAAATACTGAGAGTTTTTTTTTATAAGCACTGTATGCATGTCTGTTGTCCTATCTAATCTGTATTCTGAATAAATATTGTAAACAGTTTAAATCATACAATTTATGTAGAAGTTAAGGAGAAATCCTTTTCAGAATTCATATGGAAGAAAAACACAATAAAGAAGTGCCACGCAAAAAAATGAGCAAGTGTTCATTTAAGTCTGGCTATATCTGTGTTTTACTGTTTATACATCTATTGTGATTGGATATGAAGTAGTCTTTAATATTGAGAGTGCTTTAAACACTTATTGTTCAGGTTAAGAAAAGAATCTCGTACATATTAAAATTTTATATTCATTATGTGAAGAATACCATTCCAAATTATCATATTTTATATAATTATAGTAGGATATATGTAATTATTATAGTTTTTTCTGTTATATTTTCTAATAAATGGTATATTATGTTCTTAGCTTAGTCCTAACTGACCCCCCCATCCCCCCCCCCGAAAACATGTTTGATTTAATAAATGGCAAAATTAAACTAAATTCAACAGATTCAATTTCTTTTGATACTGAAATGAATTGTACAATTTTAACATTCACACACACCCCCTCCAAAAAAAAAAACAAAAGTTTTAGGGATAAAATCTTTTCCCATGAAAGTCTTGTTCATTAAAATTAATCATATATTTCCAGTTCCCACTTTCTAGAAATTTCCAGCAGGCCCATCCCCCGTTAAGGTGGTGTTGTGCTTGTTCCAAGGGAGATAACTCTGTGACTTACTCTATTATTAATGATGGAGTGGTGATGAGGTTGTCCAAACAAGCTAATATTGGATTTATAGGGAGAGACAACAACAGGGGTGGTGGTGTCAGATTTACTACGGAGGTGAACAGGGGATCCCTGCAAAGTTCAAAATCACTCAGGATTAAATACATGCTGCACAGAAAGCCTAGATCTCACACAGTTACATGTATAAATACAGCACACAGTTTCACTTAAGGGGGCTGGTGGTCAAAGCCCTTTTTTAAGACTATTTATACCTCCTAAAAAAGGAGAGTTCTGCATGTATAAAAATACAGAAAATTGCATTCAATATCATATTGATTTAAACTGTAATACCGGTACAAGTTTTTTTTTATTTCTGTACAATGTCACAGTAATAGATTGTGGGTAGAAAATTCCTACTTCAATCTATTATTGTGCGAATCAGTTAAATGACTTGTTGAGCACCCAGCCTCCTTATAATTAATAACACGCACTAGTCAAGTCTTATTCCACAAAAAAATAACATGTACAGTATACTGTACGTTTAGGTAGTACATACAAACATGAATCATGTAGAAGTTGTAATTCACCACACATACACAGGTTAACAGCATTACCAGCTTGTCCCAATACTAGTCTTTTTAATTTTAATCTTAATTTTATACAGGGGCTGACAAATCCCACTGACCTGATGCCCAGAACTGTTTGGCTAGTTTAGTTGTATTTAATAAGCACATGTCCCTGGACAATAGAATAAAAAAAATAAATATTAAAGAAAAGAATTATTATCTATTAAGAAGACAATAGTCTTATATATGAAGTTGAAATTTATTTTTCAAAAGAGTTATCTTTATTTTATCCTAATGCACTTGTTCATCATGTTCATAGACAAGTGCTTTAAATTAAAAGTCAGCCCCTGTTTACAGGAATATGTTGCAAAATCAGGACTTGATTCTTCACTCAATGATTAATTAGAAAACTACATCTGGTTAGAGAAAACCACACAGGATTAATAATTCATTAAACAAGGTTCAACAAAGATGACAGAGTGACAGAGGACCACACGTGATGAATTTAGAATTTATCCCATTACTTACAGTAACTCTGTAACTCACACACTGTACACAATGTTGTATACAAATACATGTAATCACTTGGAGGTGGTAAAATTAATCACACACACTGACAGTGTCAATAATAATTAAAATTCCACACTGCTGATACCCCATATTTAAATACTTATGGTAGGATGAAGAATGAATTTCACTGACCCAGACAAACTTCTAAATAAATTTTACATCTATCTAGGCTACTAACATGAACTGTAAGACATTTTCTCTGCATGAAAAAAACTCACCTAATGAAGGGTTATACTTATGCCATAAAATGCATTAAATTTAAAGATTTTTTTAACTATTGAAACATGATATGCAAATTAAATACAAGAGCATCATCAATTTTTAGTGCAGATAATTTAAATGTTCATTACATTTTCTATCAAGATTTAACTTATCATATTTATGAAATATTTTCAGTAAAAAGTAAATTACCAGAGGCAAGATACAGGTCTAAATAAAGTTCTTCAAATGTTACTAAGTAGGAATAATCATTTGTAGTACACACCATTATAAAGACGAGTAAGTACTAAAAGATACTTTGAAGTACTACTGTAAGATACTTTGAAGTAAATACTGAGGTATGTGTTGTTAAAACAATCTTCTATCTTGGAAAACATGTGAATAAACTTTCTAATGAAGAACATACACTGACAGAAATACATATGTACAGTGCAACAAGTACTATAGCAGGTGATAATGTGTGCTTCAAGGCAATAAAGACGACATTCTTCAATGCTTAAAACTCTGAATACAGACACAGAAATAATGCAAAATGAAATAAAATTACAGTCATATGTACATAGATCTACTTAAAGTCACGCAACACTGAAGAAAAACATATAGTACAAAAAGCTCTCAGAAATTCTGACATACAGAGAAAGCTACTAAGCTCGAACCCGAGGCAGATAAACCCCGAGTTTAAGTCCCCTACACGTGAGATAGAGAAAGACGTGAGCTCGCCCACCAAGCCAGTGTGATAATCTGGAGACTTACTGCGTCTTTGTAGTCACTGAGTACCGGTGCCGACTCAGTCCGGCTGTGTATGACCGGGGCCATGTTTATATTGGGTGTCGATTCCGACTGGCTCGACTTCAACCCCGTGTCATACGAAGGCCCCAGGTTTCTAGAATTCTGCTAAAGATTTTGGAGGGGAATACAATTACTGAATGATCTAGAATTTGGAATTTATCAAAAGAATTGGAACTACGTAACTGGTTTCTAAGGTCACCTGTAATTCATCTATATTATAGTGCATATCAATATTACTAACAACATGTGATGAATGAAAAATTATCCACCTGAAAATTTATTACCAGGATTGTTCATTTTCTCATTTTCTAAGAAAATTTATTGAGATCTTTTCATAATGATTTTTTTAATACTGGTACCTTCTAAAGAGACAAACTCAAAGAGAAAAATATTAATTTTTACATAAAACAATACTTCAACCTTTTTGGCAGACACAGATATAAAATATAGAATCTATACATGTTTATTGGCAAGAAAGTATAACTACAGGTAGGTATTTTTTTTGAATTTTAATTTCCAGGGTCAATTTTCTTTAACATAAAGATAATTTTTTTAATGCAAGACAGATAGAAAAAATACATCCATTTCTGTGAAATCTATAACTGGGGATTACAGACATTTACATCTAAACATCCACTGGAATATGAAGCAAATACTACAAACATGTACATCAATCTGATACTCAATAGGAAGAAATCAATATTAAGGTGGATTTCCCCTCACCAAAGTTCTACAACTCATAGAAAATCTCATTGTGAAAAAATGGATATTGGAAGTGATATTTCATATTTTCAACCCAGAACCACATCTGATTAAAAAGTAAATAGACTATGGTGCATAATAAAAATATTTAAACTAGAAAATTGGTCTCCGCAACACCAACTTTTTATTTTAAAAATATACAATAAAATCGGCAATGCGGCTACCTTAAAACGGATGCGCGCGGGCCAAAACCAAGATTTCAATTTTATATGGCCTTTCAGTAAAGAACAACTCAAATTGTATATCTAAATAATAGAATTTTTATATAAAATGATTTTTTCAAATACTGGTACCTTTCAAGAACAAACAGCAAGAGAAAAATATTAATTTTTACATAAAACAATACTTCAACCTTTTTAACAAACACAGATAGAAAATATTAATCTACTTCTCTCTACATTTTCTTCTAAATTTATAAGATAACTTTTTCAGCAATGATAGAATGATCGAGGTTTTGTATTGCCTTAAAAATTAATAATATTCTTGAATTTTCAAATAAATAAAAACAAATAAAAATAAAAAATATATCCTCGGGGATCTATTTCTTCGGAAGTCAATGAAATTCATTCCTTCGTTAATATTCTGCAAGACAGATAGAAAAAAGAACATGCAGCGTGCGTGTGAAATCTATAACTGGGGATTACAGACATTTACATCTAAACATCCACTGGAATATGAAGCAAATACTACAAACATGTACATCAATCTGATAGCTCAATAGGAAGTAATCAATATTAAGGTGGATTTTCCCTCACTAAAGTTCTACAACTCATAGATAAGACTTTCATAGTGAAAACAATGATATTGGATGAATACATGCTTAAATCATATTTTCAACCCAGAACCACATCTGATTAAAAAGTAAATAGACTATGCTGCATAATAAAAATATTTAAATTAAATATCCTTCACTATTAACATGATTCACTATTAATATGTCTTTATTGTACTTTAATGGGAATTAGCTGTGTTAGAAATATTGAAATTGTTTATAAAATATGTGAAATGCAATGAACATTATACTCTATTCAAATTCACGTCTGTATCTTGATGATGGGATATTAATTACAGGAGATACTAATGTCAGGAGAGTTAATCTGAAATCATAAAACTTAGATACTACAAACTTCTACATTACTGTTATTTGCCAAAATATAGTTTTATGAAACAATCTTTCAGACAAACAAAAAATTATTGTGTGTGTATTTTTAATAGTTTTTTTTCTGTGGGAAAAAAATCATATTGAACATTTGAAATTATATTTAGATATTTTTTTCTTCTTCAAACTTTTATTTTACATGTAATAACCACTTACATCATTCTGGTTAGGGCTCTGGAGAGAGAGAGGGTTTACACTGTTCTAATAGGGGTTGTGCTTGCTGGAGAGTGGGGGGTGGGGGGTTAAAATGTTCAGCTGAAGACATCTGGTTGTTTATTTAGTGAATACATTTTTCTAATGTGTGGGGGGTTGGGGTTGGTTGTGCTTGTTTTTGGGGGGTGGGGGTACAGGAGTGGTCATTTACTTTCAATGCTCTGGTTGGGGTTGCCTGTGTATGTATCTGTGTGTGTTTGGGGTGGGGAGAGTTGTTCCTTTACTTACAATGTTTTGGCTTAGGTTGAAGTTGCCCTGTGTACGTGTGTGTGTTTGGGGGAGGGGGTCATTTACTTACATTGCTATGACTGGGATTGTAGTTGCCCGTGTACATGTATGCTGGGGGAAAGGGGGAGGGGTTGATTACTTACATTGCTCTGGCTAAGGTGGTGGTTTCCCCGTGTGTCTGTTTGTGTGTATGGTGGGGGGGGGGGTTGTTTACTTACATTGCTCTGACTTTGGATGTGGTTTCCCTGTGTTTGTGTGTGTGTGGAGGGGGGGCTTTACTTACATTGCTCTGACTTTGGATGTGGTTTCCCTGTGTGTCTGTTTGTGTGTATGGTAGGGGGGGGGTCATTTACTTACATTGCTCTGGCTGAGATGGTGGTTGCCCTGGGGGACAGGGACTGACGGCGCCGGTCGTTTACTGGGAATCTGAGACAAGGCCTGGTTACCAATAGGGTGGTTCTACATAGACAAGGAACATGCAATTGATTCCAACACCTCAGTACATCATAAATATCTTTATAATTATATACCCACTCAACACTGCTTATCCTCCCCTCTTAAGCATCAGTCTGTTACAAGAGCTGCCTCCAAGTATCTATAGCTGCTGTCTCTCACAAGAGTTCTCTTTATATTAAGTACTATAAGTATGTTTACATATACTATAAGTATGTGTAATAATCTGTTACTAAAGATCCCTCCAAATTTCAATAGCAGTCTGAACTCCCTACTAATGTTTGAAAAACTGTCTGTTCTCAGAGCTCTGTTGAAGGTAAGAAAGAGATATTAAAGGTTATTCCCTCACATTAGAATTTCAATTAAGAAATGACTACAACTATATACTGTAACAGAAGCAGAGTCTACAATCAAATTCTATTCTTCTTTCCTAGGCATCATTTATAAAGACAGTGCAGTGTTGAGTGGATAGATATAAAACTAATAAAACATGCAATATTCTAATGATAGATTATTACACTACATTGCATACAACATTCAGTCTACAGGGATTACATGCAAAGCAGTAGTGAATTACAGAAGATATAGTCAAATTACATCATGCATCCTGACCAGTTGATTTTTTTAGGTTGTTATATTTGGTATATATCTTCGGCATATTCAACATAATATCAATATATATTGTTTTTTTTTTTTTACATCCAGTCCAATATTTTTTTTTCGTTCACCCCCCAAAAAAATAAAAAAAATAAAAATTGAACATTCTTTCACAATATTGAAATTTTTTTAATTTAAACCTTATTGGTGGTAAAAATGTCCTTTTAAAAAGTCTTGGGCTCAAATCTCAGTGGGACATTGAAAACAATCCTTTCTATAATTCTCGAAAATAACATAATTATCAGATTTCAACATGTACTTTAACAAGGGGTGGTGGCTTTAATTTCCTGTAACCAGGCTTGGGGTCAATTACTTTGAAATGTAATTAATTACTTTCAAATACATTGATAATTTTGTCAATTACTTGCAATTACAATTACATTGATTTTTTCAAATGTAATTAATTACTATCAATTACTTTGACAAATGTAATTAAATACATTTCAATTACTTCGAGTTATTAAAAAAAAATTAAGATTTTTTTTAAGGCTATCTAAATTTAATTCCCTGGTTCTCAGGCCAATTTTCTCCAAAACATATGCGGGAGGGCGGCATTTTATTTTTCATTTTATTGGCAATAAAGTAGATGAGGGAGGTATTTTTTTTATTTTAATTTCCGAATTTTCTTTAACATAAAGAAAATTTTTTTAATCACAGATATACTTTCCATTTCTGGTCAAAATTTCTGCTTTATCCATTGCTTAACAGCATGTAAACATCGTAGGTAATGTCCTCGAATGTATTTTCAAACGAAGGTAGCCAAAATCTCATTGTAAATGGCTACCGGAAGTGATATTTGAATACTAAACTAAGAAACAAATGAGGTCGGAATTTTTTTTCCCGGATTAGTCTCCGCACTACCAACTTTTTATTTTATCAAAAATACAATAAAATCGGCAATGCGGCTACCTCAAAACGGATGCGCGCGGGCCTGAGAACCAAGATTTCAATTTTAGATGGCCTAAATAAGATTTTTTTTTCTATAGCGATTGAATTCGAACTTTCATTCAGTGTTTTTGTTCTTGGGTATGATAGGGGTTCACTCTTGGTCAAAATTAGACCTTTACATTATAATGAGTGTGACACACTGTATAAACAAATTAAACATTATGAGACTATTAATTATTGTACAAACACAAGCCCATGCTACACCAGTATGGTGTATGGCAAGATCTTTTTTGTTACTTTCTGAAATCCATATTTTTGAAGGAAATAAATAATATCTATCACAATTCCATTCATTATTTTCTATCTTAAAATGAAAAGGGGATGTAGTTAGTCTAATTGCTGTAAAACAAATTAACTATCTAAACAATCATTATTATTTGCAAGTGGGAATAGGGAGAACTGAGATTTATAAAACATGGGAATAAGTAATATAAACCCATCAGTATAAAACTATGTATCAGTATAAGACAACTTTTTAAATATAAACTTTCATTTTGAAAAAAAGTAATTGAAATGTAATTGAAAAGTAATTGAAAATACATGACCTTTTTTGAAATGTATTTAAATACATTCAATTACTTGTAATTGAAGGCTAGCTCAAATACAAATTACTTACAATTACTTTGAAAAATGTAATTAATTACACTCAATTACAATTACTTTATTCAATTACCCCATCCCTGCCTGTAACTGTAAATCATAATCGTTGTCTTTATCACACTTTCCCTCTTTGTTTGTGCAAAGCGACAGACAAATCCACTGTTATCGCAATTAATGGATCAGATTATCTCATCTGCGAGTCCACTTTATCTCACTTCAAATCCTTCCTATCTCTCTACTTAATAGGGCTTATTATTCCTTGGGAATAGACCTGCTCCAAAAACTTTAAACTGCTCCAAAAACTTTAATCTCCGCATTTCACCTAAAAAAAATCACACCTCAACTGGAGCCCCCTATCTCACATGATATCATACAACCATATCTCACTTTTTCGATGTATCTCAACTTTCTCACATAATGGCCCTCAATGTAAGTCAATATCTCAAATGAACGCTGTTTATATCACATAATGGCCCTCAACATCTTGCCTGATCATTTTCAATACCTCACTTGATTTATCTCAATATCTCACCTGCTCTATCTCAATATCTCACCTGGTCTATCTCACTACCTCACCTGATCTATCTCACTTGATCTATCTCAATATCTCACCTGATCTATCTCAATATCTCACCTGATCGTTGCCATTCATCAGTCTTTCCTTTAACTCTTTGTCAGCTTCCTTAATTGTCATGATCCAGTCTCCCTGCATTTCGTCTTCCTGAACATCTCTTTAAAAAAACAGGTCAAAGGTCAAGGTCAATCACATTTTTAACAGGGTCAAAATGTATATTTTTTTTTCTTTTTCCTATTTTCAGGTTCTTTTTTATTCCTCAGTTCACTGATATAATAATTCAATTTTGGGGGGGCCTGATTTCCTACAATAAATCTGATTTATTATCAAAATGCAAGGAATTTTAACATGCCTTGCAGGACAAATTTTTCAGAAAAGAGCATTTTATCTTGACAACTTTGTAGAGGAATAAAAGACATTTATATTCCAATATAGTTATTTCCCTTATCAGGTTAATTGACCATCTCTCTTACAAGAATGTCAATTAGCCTTGAACTTAATAATACAGAAGTATAAACAAAAGTTTATAAACAAGACAGATGCTTCCTTTTTTTACCAGGAAATTACACCACTCCTCCCTAGTGCCCTGTTACCATGGATACCATTACACTAACTTACTCGTCACTCTCGGAGTCTGAGTCGGAGTCGTTCCCCTTCTCCTGTTTCCAGCGCTGATATCGATCAATTAATTCTTGTAGATATGTTGTCTTCCTGGCCCTCCTAATGAAGGGGTGTTTTAACAGTTCCTTTGCTGAAGGCCTCTGATAATACAAAAACCATATTCAATTCAAAATACGTCAGACTAGAAGCTAAAGATATCAATACATTAAGGTTTGACAGTCAATAAAAATAACAACAGCTTATTTCTTTACCGTACTATGAAAGAAAGAGATTGAAACCGCAGCATTTTTTTTCAAAATAATTCATATATGCAATTCCTTTTGTAAAAATAACTGCTTTCTTCTTTTATATAGCATGAGAATTACAGATCTTTCATCAAACTTAAATATCTAAGCCTGTAGAATAGCAGCTTTAAAATCTGTACTACATGAATGCTCACCATTATATCAACTTTATATATCAATAAAATAAAGAAGAAGAGTTTGAAATTTGGTACTTTGGTAGGTAACCTTTACGTCCATAAGACCTAACAACATGTATGTGGTAATGATACAAACTCACTTACTCTAAATACAAATATGTATTAATACACATGTAACGCATTCCATGAGGAAACATAGGAATGAGAAGGCCTCTTTATACATCTACTCACATTGTTGCGGGGTGTGGGTGTTCCACATTAAGGTATATATACTCACATTGTTGGGGTCCTTATTAAGGCACAGCTCCACAAACTCCTTGAACAGTCGGGAGAAGTTCCCGGTCAGCTGTGGGGGGTTATTTTTAGGGATCAGGAACAGGACCCTCATTGGATGGAGGTCAGAGTTGGGAGGTTCCCCCTTGGCCAGTTCTATGGCAGTGATCCCCAAACTCCAGATGTCAGCCTAAAATTAGACCTTATTTATAGCAGAACATTCCAATGTTTACATTTAAAAAAAATTGCCTTCTTAGGTTCAAAGTTATAACTTTAATGTTACGTCCTTTGTCAATAATTTGATGTTCCTTTTTTTAAATCAGTGACTAGATATTGATTAACCTGCAGATTAATTGACTTTCTTAATTTTACCTAACTTTACATGTTTCTTATTCATCCAAAACTTACTACAAACATTATTTTAATCAATTTGCAGAACATCAAAAATTTTATGCAAATTAAACAAGCCAGATGAAGAGTGCGATTTTCGTACCTTGGTGTCGTAGGCCGACTGTTTGATGACCTCAGGGGCCATCCAGAATGGAGTCCCCACAAACGTGTTCCGTTTATTGGTCGTGTTCGTCAGCTGACCAGCGACGCCAAAGTCGGCCAGCTTCACATCCCCCATCTCCGACAGCAAGACATTTGCAGCTGTACATATGAAAAAAATAATAATTCAGGAATACATTTATAGTATATCTTACACAAATAGCACAAATCAAAAATAGGACAGAGCAAAAATAGGCTTATCTTGGAAAAATATGGTACACTGTAGTTTGAAATAGGTAATAAATAAATACATGTAGTGTAAGTCAAGAATATGCCTTTTTTTGAATAAATAAATTATGGCAAATATATGCATATCTTAGACAAATGAGGTGAACAAGTGATAGGTAATAAATAATCAAACTACTTATTTATTACAAAGTACTTATCTTGGGTGTTCTGAGTATTCATATTACAGGACAAATGTAACTCTATTTGATAAAATCATCATGATCATGCACTTAACTTGTTAAACTGTAGATATTATTACATTAAATTAATCATATTGAATTATACTAATAACCAATTATGATTTTGTACACTGTAAATAGTTGTACCATATTTGCCACACTCTAATGACTTCAATATAAGCAGAAATCTCTTTATCACTACAGGCATTTGAAATGTGATCACATTTAATTTGGAAAATAGGAAATTCAAAATCCAAGGGTATAAAACAAGGGTCTCCTTAGTCCTTGAAATGGTCACTTAATTATTAATAGACTAAAATATCACATTTTATATGCATATGTTCCAAGGTTTTTTTTCTTTAATACCAAATATCCCTTTAGCACCAATATCTTATTTTACTATCCATGAAAAATGATTTCCTGAAGAGTAAGTACTAATAAAGGCTCCTGGTTCAAGGTTACTTGTTTGAAAATCTGATGAATATTGGCTGAGAGGTTCTTGATACATGGTCCCTATTCTAAAATTTTATGTTCGCTATATCAATTACCATGGGATGAACTCACTTTAGTTTCAAGTTTCAGGTGAGCTAAATAATTAAATATGCCTCTAAAAATGTATTTTCACCAACAGGAAGATTGTTAAGAGTACCAACAGGCTATTCAGTTTCGATTTTAGTACATACTTTTTTTTCATATATATGCATAAACTATAAACAACACAGCCATTATACAGGAAGCTGTCCTATGTGATATCACAATTTAATCAGATAAAAGCATGACTTACAATTATCAACTACAGCTTCAGTGAAAAGTGTGATTAAATAATGGAAAGACAAACAGACAATAATAAACTAGAACTTTTCCTAATTTTTCTTGAGCAGGGGTCATATTCATTATTTACTTGAAATTAGGAAAATGTTGGGGGGTTTAGTTTTAGAAACCTAAAAATTCAAGGCCTCCAATATTTTTTCACTGT